GGATTATGCACTCAGGAGGTCCGACTCCAGCCACTGAAACCACTACGTTATTCCACCTCTTTGTAGAAGGGACTGCCGGTGTCCCTCCCAGTGTTCTCTCTCTAGCTGGCTAGAGAACCTGAAAACGGAAGCCTTCACTGCCAACTGGGAATGGCAGAAACCCACCAGAACACTGCTTCCATGTTATACACTGCAGATTGCAAGCAAGCTAGTCTCTAGCCTGGAGATCAGCTCAATTCCCTCCACGTCCCCATTCTCTCCAAAAAGTAGCTGTTCACTAAAAATCAAAGTGGTGAAGTCTTTTCTTGACTTACAGCATCTTACAACTAACAACACTTGAGAAAAACCTCTATGTCTGATTTTAATAAAACATACTTTTCTCATCAAAATATTTTGATAGCACAGATAAAGAGATGCGTGCTCATTAAAGTTTAGTGAGTGTCTCTCCCTGCCATTTTCCACATGAGGATCATACAGTATGACTCACGCGTGGTGGGTGCTGGGAATAGTTAACTGGGAGCGCAATTTAAACCAGTCTCGATCTTTGTTTTCCCGGGGACAAATGCAGCTGCAGGCGGGGTCCTTTAGGGTGTAAGTACATGTCTGCTGACCTGACTGCTTGGTTGATAGTGCATGGGTTCAGACAGGTGGACCCAATAATTGCTCCTGGTTAACCTTTATTTGCTCTAAAAAGGGAGCGAGGTAAGGACAGGGGCACACCGGCTGCCAGGCCACTCCAGTCCCAAGGCTAAACTGGGGAGTCCCGGAAGAGGGCAGTGCCTTGGACAGAGGTTTATCTTCGCTAGTCTCCTGCTGCCTGCCTCACTTCCAGCCAGGGCAGGCTTTCTAGCTCTTTCCGCAGGCTGTCTACCCCTCTCCTTGCCTTTGCTCACACTTTCTCCTGGCCTCTGGAGTGGTCTCTGCACCCATGTCTGCAGCTTGAGATGTTATCCATTCATTGAGGATCGTCTACTGTTCTACTACCTTGAGTTTTGGTGCCTTGACCTGATGCGATCTCTCCTCCCCTGAAGAGCACAGACCCTCTGTTGAGGCAGGCACTTTCCATGGAAGTTCCCGGGCATTAGGTGTTCATCAGCTCAACATATACTCACAACAACCTCTGAGGTGAGTATGGCGATTTTGCAGAGGAGGAAAGAGAAGCTATGAGAGATTCAGTGATGTGTCCAGGCTCACACACATGAGAAAGTAGGCTTTGATTTCAGAACGTTTGGTCCCAGAGCCCGTGTTTTTTTTTTTTAAATTAATTAATTAATTAATTAAATTTTTTATTTTTTAATTTTATTATGTTATGTTAGTCACCATACATTATATTATTAGTTTTTGATGTAGTGTTCCATGATTCATTGTTTGCATAGAACACCCAGTGCTCCATGCAATATGTGCCCTCAATACCCATCACCAGACTAACCCAGCCCCCCACCCCCGTCCCCTCTAAAACCCTCAGTTTGTTTCTCAGAGTTCATAGTCTCTTATGGTTCATCTCCCCCTCCGATGTCCTCCCCTTCATTTTTCCCTTCCTACTATCTTCTTCTTTTTTTTTTTTTAACATATAATGTATTATTTGTTTCAGAGGTACAGGTCTGTGATTCATCAGTCTTACACAAAACAAACAGCACTCACCATAGCACATACCCTCCCCAACGTCTATCACCCAGCCACCCCATCCCTCCCACCCCCCACCACTCCAGCAACCCTCAGTTTGTTTCCTGAGATTAAGAATTCCTCATATCAGTGAGATCATATGATACTTGTCTTTTTCTGGTTTACTTATTTCAGTTAGTATAATACCCTCTAGTTCCATTTACATCGTTGCAAATGGCAAGATTTCATTTTTTTTGATGGCTGCATAACCCAGAGCCCATGTTTTTGATTGTGATATTACCACCCACTTAGGTCTCTGTTTTCTCATCTGTAGAATGGGGACTGCAATAATACCCACCTCTAGGATGGTCACAAGGACTAACTAAGATAATACAAGAGAATTACAATAACCTAGAGCTCAGTGGCTCCTAGCTGCTGTCATTGTCATCACCACGTGCTGGTCTCATTCCTCTCCTGCCCCAAAATGAAGGTGGGATGATCACATCCTCCTAACCCTTCATCTCTCACGCAGAGTCACCCTGTGCCCAGCACAGTCCTCACAGCGACCTCGAGAGCATCTGTCCACTGTGGGCCTGACCTAGGCTCAAAGAGATTGACAACGGGTTCTAGCATCTTCCTAGAATTTGGGGACATGCATCTAGGTAACTATGGACCCCTGAGCCATTGTGCTTTTGTGCTTTCATGGCCTTTACCTCCTTGACAACTCCTGCTTTAGACAAGTTATTCAACCCCCCTCCCTGAGTTCTCCTGGGCCAAGATCATCATAACCTTCTCTTTCTCCTCTCCTCTTGCTTCCCCCTTCCCTCCCCTTCCCTCCTCTCCCCTCTGCTCCCCCTTCCCTCTCTTTCTACCCCTTCCTTCTCTCTTCTCCCTCCCCTGCTCCTTTCTCCTCCTTCCTTTTCTCTCCTCTCCCCTCATTCCCCCCTCCTCTACCCTTCCTCTCGCCTCTCCTCCCCCTCCCCACTTCCCTCTCTTCCTTTTCCTCCCTCCTCTTCCCCACTCCTCTTCTCTCCTCCCTCCATCCCTCCCCTCCCCTCCACTTCCTTCCTCTCCTCTCTTCTCCTCTCCTCTCCTCCACCATCTTCCCTCTTCTCTCCTCTCCTCTATTCCTCCCTCCCCTCTTTTTCTCTGTGTCCTCTTTCTCTCTCTCTCAGTCACTCTCAGGATGGTCATATCTCCTATAGGCCAAGCAGCATCCCAGGTCCCTGGCCCAGGAGCCAGAGTTTCTGGAACCAGAGCCCCTCACAGCTTGGTGACATCTGGGTGGCTTTTACAGTGTAAGGTTCTTTATCCAGGAGCACCTCTTCCCTTGCTTGGATTTAGTTCATCCCTGGGATTGGCATGGTTAATGAGGTTAGTGGTTTAGGGGTAGCTGAGGTGAGGATGCTCCTGACTCCTTTCCTGAACAAACAGCACTGGACAGAAGCCAGGATTTCCATCTCACTCAGGCTGGAGCCCTGGTCAAATGGTCCTACCTCTAAATAAGTTCCTTCCAAGAACAGCATCTCCCATACCTTTACAGAAATAAAAACTAAGAAAAAAACAAAACAAAACCCATTAACTCTTTTAAAGGACACTTGCCCTTCCCCAGGTCACTCAACTTGTGGCAGAGGGCATTTCCATTCTGTCCCAGGGGAATTTCACTGCTCTTTAAGTAAACCCAGAAGACAACCAACAAATAATGCTTCACATTAATAATGTCTAAAAGATGAAAGGTATTAGTTTCCTTTATAAATCCGGTCTATTGTCAGTGGTGCAATTAAATTCTACCTTAGGCTATGGCTGGAGCATCCCACAGCTTGGAGGGGCTCTCTCCTGAGCCCTTCATAGGGACAGGGCGTCGGTTCCTAATGAAGGCAGGCCCCACCTCCGGTGGGACAGGTCTCCCGGGGAGCACCTGCCATTGCGGGGGCGGGGGGGGGCCCTGGTTCTGGTACCAGCACCTTATGCTAGTGAATGCACGTTTTCACAGCACTGATGGCCCCTCTGGAGGAGCCTCATGCCACCCTCCATTTGCAGTTGTTTCCTGTTCTGCCTGCAGACCCTGCACGACCTCATTGTTCGATTATCTTCTAAGGCCTCCTGTGTAGACGCTGTGAAAGGCCGTGGGCGGGGCCTGAGGGGGAAGGCCTCAGGATGACTTAAGCCTTTCTCAAAATGAAGGACCTGGGCTCTCTGTCTCAATGGGCACGACCTGTGTGTGTTCGGGTGAGCCTCTCCCTGGGGTGACTCATAACATGGCCGTCCTCAAGTGCCATGTGCACAGCGCTAGACCCATTGGCAGCTGCCTTGCTGAGTGCTCCACGACAGTCATTAGCTTTACAAATGATTCACAGCAAATGGTTCATAAGACCCAGGGCTTACAGTACCCCCGACCCCTGCCACCTCTGGGGGCATTTAAAATATGCGCAACTTGGTAAACTTTGATGATCATCTTAGAAGAATGAAGCTTAAGATCTGTGCTAATGCTTTTAATCACTTTTGGAAAAAAAGACCTCCAGCAACTTGAGAAGGCCTCTAATACCTGGGTAAGGCTGACATAAAGTTATCATACCCCAAGGACATGGATGGAGGCCTAGGTTTCTGCTCACAGGACAGGAAGGTGTCTCAGGATGTGGCTAAAGATGCTGCCAGTGTTCCCGAAAAGAGGGAACAAACAGATTGCCATATTTGTCTTCCATTTCCATCCATCCTCTGCCCTCCTCTGCCAAGTTTCTTTGAACCATTTGGGCAGAGATTTCTGGTGGTAAATGGAGAGACAAATAAAAACTACTAGCCAAACGGGCAAAATAACCCTATGGTGACAGAAGTCAGAAAGGTGGTTATCTTTGTGATGGGGGAAGGGATTATTGACTGGAAAAGGCATGGGGGAGCTTTCTGGAGTGTTTGGACTCCTCTATGTCTTCATCTGGCTGGTGGTTGCAAGGCGTCTATGTATATACAAACTCACTGTCACCAAGCTGACATCTCAGCGAGTGCATCCTACTGTATGCAGTTAGATCTCAATGTCCCGAATGCAGGCGGGAGATGATCCCAGTGGTTTCCATTTCATGCCATGCCTGACCCACTTTACTCTGGAGACACTGAAATTCTGTCTGTGTCCATTACACATCTTTATCTTCCTCCACAAGTATGTTTATACCCACAGGTTTTACTTATATCTGCAGCCACATCTATATATTTAAATCTAGAGAGGAGGGAAAAGTGTTATATATGTGTGTGTCTATATAGAGGGCAGTTTACTTCTTTCAAAGAACAGGAGGATCTTAGCTCCCCCCCTACTGTTTTTGTTGAGCAGGACACACACACACTAAGTACGCCTGGGTGCCTAATCAATAACCTTGCCCTTCTCCCTTGTCTGAGATGGTAAAACTGACCTTGATGGTGAGCTGGGGGATGGTCAGCATGGTGGACTTCTGCTTGGCCAGAACATCCTTGGTCTCGTTGACACGCGCTGTGACAAAGAAGTGCAGGTATGCTTGTTCCAGCAGCTGGCCCATGTACTCGCCCGCTCTGATCGGCACCTCCTCTCTCTTGACTGGCAGGAGGAGAAACAAACATACAGAACATCAGGACCTGAGTTAGACCTGCTTGACTTTGCCCACGTGCTCCATCTCCTTCCCCTTCGGGATTCAAGGGAGCAAAAGGACCTCAGCATCCACCAGAAGCACAGCCAAGGTGAAGGATGAAGACTCAATCAAGGACAAAGTCTCGTGCTTCTTGGATAAAACAAGAATGTGCTAGAAATTTAATATTCAGGAAAGCCTTACTAGAGAAAATGTGTCATTTTTTTCCAAACAGTGCTTTTGCTGTTGTAAAAATGCAAAGCCATGTCAGGGATGTTGAAGATCAAGGACCAAGGGGTTTTAACTGTGGCTGTTTTGAGTTGACTGTGGACAATCCCAAGATGACAGAAACCCAAGGCCACCAGTCCATGTACCGTCCCCTCGTGCAACAAGAAACATCTCTCCCAGGCCATAGGCCACCCTTGAGCAAAACTGTCAACTACCTAAACCTTATCCTTATAGCACTTCACATTTTCTTTCCAGCTTTTTCTGTACCAATCTTACATGACTTTTCTATATAAGAGAAAGAAGCCTTTGAAACCAGTTTTTATCCTAGGCATTCAGGTCTCTCCCACCCTGTTCCTATTTGCAATGTAAAGGACCTCTGTGCTGAATGCCTGGTTCCTCAAGTCACTGATGTTAGCTTTTAGGTGTTGAGGACAGGCCAGTGAGACTGACATTTAGAGGTTGGGGAGTGGTCCAGGCTCCCCTCCATTCACCATCTGGGCTGAGGGCAGAAATGCTATCTTGTGGCTCTGAATGTAACAGTGAGGTCCTGTTTGGCTGCACTGCCCGCTTTCTCTATCACTCTCATTTCCCACTGCTCAGGATTCAAGAGAGCAAAGAGGCTGAGCCCAGGCCATGGTGTGGCACCTGCTCACCTGCTCAGAGCCAGGTGCTAGCGCTGCATTGACAGCTGGCCCAGTGGGGAAATGGGTGGCAATGCCTCCATCCCCATGCCCAGAACACAGGCTCTGCAAATGGTCACAGAATGGAACATCTCCACCACTGCTTCCTTGCCCAATGTCTGCCTTTTGCCAAAGATTCCTCGTCCCTGTGGAAGTTATTGAAAGGAATGATTCCCAGGGTCCATTGTTTTACATGCAGGTGCAGGGGATAGTCAGTCCCCAGTGAACAGCAGTCCTGAAATGAGGACGGGATACTGTGTAGGGCAAGCCAGGGCACAGGGAAGGCTCCCTGACTTGTCGGCCCACAGGCGAGGATGCATCAGGCCATGCTCATCACCTTCACAGATAAATAGGCTCTGTGACCTCCTCTAGCCCTCTGACTGAGGAGTTCTTAATCCTGGTGGGGACATTAAAAACCCGCCCTGTTGAATTAAGACCAATTAAATCACAGACCAATTAAATCAGAGTTTTGGAGGCTGGGGCCCAGGCATTATTTTACAGGTTTCGCGGCTGATTTTAATGTGCAGCTGGGGTTTGCGGGGGGGTACTGCTCCAACAACCAGGACGATCCCCACAGGATCAGCTCTGTAGAAGCGTTGGTTCATGTGGAAGGTATGGCCCTTCCAGTCCAGGAGCTTGCTGCTTGGAGTGTGGCCTGCAGACCATCAGCTGTGAGCTCATAAGAGACGCAGGTTCTCTGAACCCCCCCACCCCTAACCCCACCCCAACTCACTGAATTACGATCTGCTTTTGAATAAGATGCCCACATGATGCATATTCAACTTTGAGAAGCTCCCAGAGTTAGGAGGACCTTGGCTTGAACTTGGCCCTTGAATTCTGCTTTTTTAATGACCCTTTCATATTGCCTTCTTTGGGCCTGAGCCTGGACCCTACTTCCTCCATGACTCCCCTAGAAATTAATTGTCCAGACAGATAAGACTCCATCCCTTGACTGGATACAACCTCAGATGAACACAAGGGGCCTGTTTTTCATGACCCCAGCTCTGGATGGATGGAGTGGCAAATGGTATGCCTTGAAGAACATATGTTTTGTCTCTAGCTGCCTCCAGCAATACTAAAAAATGAGATTTCCTCTGGTTATTACGGGGGGGGGGGGCTCTGTTTGACCACTGGATTCCTTGAGGTTGGCGAGATATTTCTGACTTTTTTCTACCAATTTTAACGAAGACTTTTGCTACCTTTATAATGTTGGCACCAGGACATTATTCTCTTGGGTAGAACATTCTCTAAATCATAGCCCTAAGGAAACTGGGCTGTGCTTCCAAGCCCAAGAGAACAGTGCTCCTGAAATAGTATGTTATGTAAGTGCTGTGTTTTGCCACTGCACAAGAAATTGTTCTAGATAAAGTTTATTAAATGTGGCAAGAGAAAGAAGAATAGGTTTTCATTCTATGAGTGGTGGAGCTGGGCTCCTGCCAATATCATTTACTGTGTCTGGGGAAAGCCGAGGGAGACACAGACAGGAGCTGCCTCATCTCTTTTTCCAAAAAGCAAAGAAAACTAAATATAGTCAAGTGGAAATGATAACACCTTTGAAGGTACTGGAAGGTTTAAGTTATTCAAATCTTCCAAGCTGATTCTAGCCCACACATTCTCTTTAATCATCAATCTGGGAAGTATGCCTCCCATTCTACTTGGAAAACTTTCTCTGCAACCGAGTCTCCTAGGAGTGTACTCTGACCTGCTTGATCAAGGTCTAGAATCAGGTGGCTTTTTGCAACACGTTGCAATTTATTTTATTATTATTATTATTATTATTTGCCATTTATTTTAGATTGCAGTTTGCAACCTATTGCATACAGTTCATTCCACCTGGTCGCTGTCCCTAGATCAGTGACCGAGAGAGAGGGTTAATGTATCATGCCATTCCAGCCCTATCAACTCATAGAAGCTCATTTTCTTATTGGATTAGGGAGAAAAGGGGAAGGAGATGGGATTCTTGTGAGGTGGGAAAGGATGGTGTATGGTTAAACCTAAGTTAGATCAGGCCTCATTCCTGCTCAAAATCCTCTAATGGCTCCTCTGGCTTAGCTCACTTAGAATCAAAGCCGAAGTCCTTACAAGGGCCCACAGTTCTTCATGTGATCTACACCATCACTCTCCCTTGCCACCTTTGCTCCCAACTCTGGTTTCCTTGCTACTCATTGAACATATCAAACATGCTCTGGCCTCAGGGCCTTTGCATTTACAGTTTCTTCTGGCTGCAAAGCTTGCTCCTTTCCTTCTGTCAGGTTCCTGTTAAATGTCATCCCATTAGAGAGGTTTTCCCTGATCATCCCACCCCACCAACATTCCCTTCTTCCCTTACCCTGCTTTATATTTTCTTGTTATGTGTATAACTATACTATATGGTACTTTGTTTATTGTCCAGCCCCCACCTCTTAAGACCACAAACCCCATGAGAGTTGGCACTTCTGTTGTGTTCATTGCTGTGTCTCCAGGACAAAACAACATCTAGACATTAAGCATGAAATAAAGATTTGGGGAACGAATCTACAACCCTGTGGCGTGGATGGTATTGTTCCCATGCACGGAAGAGCTCAGATTACTTAAGTAACTTGCCTAGGGACACACAGCCAGTAGGTGACATAGTCACACCTAAAATCCCCATTTGTCTAATTCCAAGACTCAGTTTCTTTAAACTCCACTGTGTCTGCCTGTTGTCTTGAGTCCTTTATACTGACGAGTCTTTTCTTTAAGGATTACCTTTCCTACCTTGAAGGATAGGAAAATTGCTAGATCTCTCAGTTTCCAAAAAATATATACCATGGTGATTTCCTAATCATTAGTCACATTACTATAGCTCCGGAAATTTGTTCCCCTAAGGTTGGGTAGGTTTGTTGGAATTAGGATTTTTAGGAATGTTCCCCATTTTTCTGGGAATATCTTTCTATAGCCTCACAAGGGTACTCACTGGGGCTTGGGACAGCCACTGAATCCAGAAAGCTTGAAAATGACTGGGATGTGTGGGTTGGTTATCCCTGGGGGCATATTAGTCTTGCTTGCCTTCACGTTGTAAAACTTATTATTTGTACACCTTTAATTTTCTTTGCCACATGTCAGGTCAACAGAAATCCAGTGCCCTGAAAGGTTTAGGTCCTTTCCAACCTGCTTTAACTCAACATGCTTGGCCTGGAGACCAGTTTCTCCCAGTTAACTCATTTTACCAGTTATGTGACTAACCTTTGTGCCCCCTAAATACTAGTACCCCAAGAAATGAGATTGGTCAAAACTGCAATTCCCAATGTAAGCTGAAGACTGTCGAGCCCAAGCCTGCTTAAAATATTCTGAATTTTTATAGTGAAGGAGATGCTTTGGAAGGGCATGTATTCGAGGGAGGCTGGGCAGGATCAAGGACGAGAAAGGGACCCCATGAGAGGTGGCAGAGAGAACAAAGCCCATCAGAAGCTCCTGGACAGCACATCCTGAGTCTCCAGTCTCCTCTCTCAAGGGTGGGCTCTCCCCTGTCCCACTATATCAGCAGATGAGTTTTCAGAAATGGCCCATATGCAGAGCTTAGATCTCTTACTTTCTAAATGGTAAAGCAAAACACATGACTTGGGGAGAGAGATACGGGGTGGAGCGGGGGGTGCTGCTTTCTGATACAGGTGCTTCACAAACTTTCCTGGGCACTAAAATCCCCTTGGGATCTTGTTACAATGTAGATCCTGGTTCAACAGATCTGGGGTGGGACCTGACAGTCTGCATTTCTAACCAGCTCCCAGGGGATGCTGATGTTTCAGGTCCTCGGCCCACACTTTGAGTAGCAAGAAGTTACATTTAATTTTCATGACTCATGGGGCTTTAGGCTTTGAAAATTTCAGTGTTCACTTCTATGCACGAGAGGTGAAGCCAAAATCTGAGGCCCCTCTAGAAGAAGGAGGTTCTCCTATGGGGTTCCTGTTTCTGAGCTCTGCGGCAAAACTTTAACTTTGACAGGAAGTTATTATTATTTTTTTTTAGATTCATTTATTTATTTGAGAGAACGAAAGAGGGAGGGAGCGGGGGGAAGGGGCAGAGGGAAAGGGAGAGAGAGAATCCTCAAGCAGACTCCCACTGAGCACAGAGCCAGAAGTGGGACTCTATCCCACAACCCTGAGATCATGAACTGAGCTGAAACCAAGAGTTGGACACTTAACCAACTGAACCACCCAGGTGCCCCTGACAGGAAGTTATTAATGAGTGACAGCACCAAGCCAGACAGGGAGGCAGAGAACAAGTCCCGGGGAGAAGAGCCCCCCTTGTTAGCTTACAAGACATGGGCTCCAGCATCACTTCAAATGTCTCCTTCTTGAATTCTGTCTTGGAGACCCCCGTGTAGAAGACAATATTGCCCGAGAGATAGGCTGAGAGGGTGTAACGGTTGGAGCTGTTGTTCTGGAAGGTGATAGTTAGCTTGAAGTCTCTTCCCAGCACGGCATTTTCCACTTCAAAATTCATGACCACGTCAGACCTGGGTTTAAGAAGGCCATCCGTGTTGAGGGGCTTTTTAGCCCCATACATCAGTGCAGTTTCCAGGGCCAGCCTCTCTTCTTCTTGGCCTAGGAGAGATGCAGAGATCATGACAGAGGAAAAGAAATGCAATGCATCAAAGAGAAATTAATAAACACGCTGTGCTCTGGGCACTGTGTGTTATACAGGTCTGGTTGCCTCTCTAAGCCACTGAACTGCTCTTCGAGACAGGCGTCATCATTATTCCGGTGTTACCAATTCTGCAAAATCAGGTTCCTGGAGAGCTATGACCTGCCCGGGCTGCCGAGTTAGTTGGCATCGCCGGGGCTTATCTGAAAGCGGGGTGCTAAGGGGTTGCCCTCAGGGCTGTTTCTCCAGGGCTGCTACTTCAGGGTTCTGCAGGCAGAGTTGGCCCAGTCCAACTCCTCTCAAATAGTGGTGCCAATTTGCTTCCCTCCCCTAATCCTAGCTAGAATTTGGGGGTCTCTAAGCAAAGATTTTGGCGATAGTTGCATCTTGCCATTCCACCCTGTGCTATACCAGTTTTCTCCTATTCACGGGTATTTCTGATAAGACCTGTCTTCCTCGTCTCTCTTTCCACGTGGGCCTGTCCCACTTTCTCCTGCTGAGCTGACCCCTGGGCAGCTGCCGTCCTGCCCTCTACTCCTTCCTCTCTTGCCATCCTCCCCCCTAATCCCGAGCCCCTGCCCCCCGCAGAGTGTAGAGATCACTTTTTCTGCAAATAGCGCACCGCCCCTATACTCAGACCTGGCAAGTCATTAACAAGCCTTCTCTGCCAAAGGGCTCTAAGGCCAAGTTCCCTTGGGGAGCACTGGGTTGTCTGGGGCCTCCAGATGCTCATTGTCTTGATTCCAGCCTATCAGAGGTTCTGAGCTTGAGCCCTACAGTGAGGAGACTTAGTTAATGTTAAGACTTCCCAAACTCATCCGATGCCAACCACATTTTTTTTGAGGGACATCTATTGGCATCTGGGGATGCACTGAAGTTCTAATGCAGTTGGAGATGTGTGTGCTCTTTTTAGGAAAATGTCTTCTGTGGGATTTCCAGGATGGTGGTGGAGGAGATGAAAGTAGGGACAGGAGGAGAAGGAGTGAGCTCTGGAAGAATCAAACAAGAGCCTTGTGCAGTTGTGGAAGCAAGAAATACAGGTACAAGTCAGACCTCAGAGCTTGCTCCTCCTGGCTCCGAGCTGCGCTGACGTTCCTTACAGAGCCCCGGACAAAATGCTTGGCTTGAGGGATCAGGGCTTGAGGAGGTGTGGAGAGATAGTCTCTATTCTCTTTACCCCCTGAGTACCTTTGGGTACATCTTAGTGCATTGTTGAAGACACAGAGGCAAATTCTTTGACTTGTAAAAACCAGTCATGGGAATGGCTAGCAAAAAAGAATCACCTGGAAATAAAAGTGTGAGCTTTTAAATTCATTAATTTTAAGATACTGTCTTCTACTTTACTTAGCAATGGAATGCAATGCAGATGAAGAAGTCAATTAACAACAGTTATTGCCGAGAGCTAATTCTGTGACAGGTATTGTGGTGAAGTGCATACTGGGCATTGTCTCATTTACTCCTCAGAGAACCCTACAAGGCAGGCACTATTATTACTATCCATGTCCTTGTTTGTAAAAAAAAAAGCGGGGGGGGGGGCACCTACATCACGGGGTTGTTAGGAGGTTTGGGGGCATGCACAAGAACTGGCAGCTACTAGGACTTTGCAAAGACCAAAATACCAGTAGGTGTTGCAAACAAACGTGCATGTGCGTGTGTGTTAACAATTTCTCTGATTGCCAAGATGGCAAGAACGTGCCAGGAACAATTGGTCTAGGACAAGCATTGGCTAGAGCACGTGTTTACAGATCAATAGGAGGGAGACATTATCTCCCTACAAAGGGAAGGAGGGGCTATGACAAGGAAAGTTCAGTAAAATATTTCTGCAGAAAGCACCTGGCCAACAGCTCCTCGGGAGAGCATTATTGATGATCACTTTGGATGGGCACCAGATATGCATTTAGACAAAATAGGAGAGGGGAACCCCAGCAGCAGGGACCTACCTGTCAGAGAGGTGCCATCTGGGGAAAGAGAGGCTGAGCTGGCCCAGATGAGGGAAAGGGACAATGGAAGGCTTGTGGCGAGCCACGGGAGACTTTATATGGCATCATAGATGGAGGAGCCTCTGGGTCCCCTCTGGGGATCAGCCTGTCCCGGGAGCCGGAGTGGCCAGGCAGTCATTCCAGAAGAGGAGGCAGGAACGTCAGGTTTCCCCAGAGCTAGGAGAACTGCCGTCTCTCTGCAGTTGTGCTTTATGCTCTGACATCTTACATAATTCAGGGCCATGAATTTAGTGCTGTGGGAGAATGATCTAAAGCCAGATTATATTTTCTGAGATTCTTCTGTGGCCTCCAGGAGCAAGGTCAAAAGCATCTTTCCGTTAACTCGGATGTAATGAAAGTGCGCTTTTATGTTTGTTAAGCTTCTTCTCATTGTTCAGGTGTTAGCTCAAATGTCCCCTTCTCAGAGAGCACCCCCTTCCATCACCCTGTGTAATGTGTCTCCAAGCCCAGTCCTCTCATCTCTCACTAACACTGGTTTTCTGTCCTTTGCCCAGGACTTAACACTACATAACATTATTTTCCCCGCTAGAACGCATCTCCATGTTCCCAAGACCTACGATCCGGCCTGGCAAAGAGGCTTTGAAGGATCAAGGTTTGGAAAAGCACCTTGCTTTCATCCAGAGACAAAACTTTCATCTTTTAACAGATACTAAATAGTCCAGTTTGGGATATGTGATGTGCATTTAAATGCACCTGTGAAAGGGCCACCGGCATTACCATTCATCTGACGATTTGCTGCTACTTGAGCTGCTATGACGTCCAGGCACCATGCTAGGCTCAGATGAGAAGCACAGCCCTTCCCTCATGGGTCTCAGGGACAAGTGCAGAGGGATCGCTATATGTGTGCCCTCCACAGACGCCGGGTCAGACGTTCCCATGTGGGGCAGGGCACAGGAGGAGAGACTCAACACCACCTGGGGGCAGGGAAGACTTCTTGGAGAGGTTTTACTCTCCGCAGTGAGAGCAAAGCATGAAGAAAGTGGCAGCCTGGCTCTCTGGAGGGCTGTCAGCAGCTCTCCCGGCTGCTGCTTGGGATGCCTGTGGGTGTGGTCAGGAGGTGCAGTGAGGGGGCCCAGAAGGCAAATAGCAGAGGCTTGGTGAGCTCTGACTGAAACGCCCTTCGAAGCAACAGAGGAGAGCAAGAGCTTTTAAGCAGTGTCATAACAGTCTCAAATTTATATTTTAAACATGTCACTTTGGCAGCAATGCATGGGTTAGACAAAGGGAAAGAGAGGGTGTGGCAGGAAGGTGGAATTGGGAAATAATAGCAGGTAGCCAGGAGAAAAATACTCATACCCTGACTAATAGTAGTAGTATTGTAGTAACAATTGAATTACTAGCAGGAGCAGAAACTAACTTTATTGGACATTTATTCTGTATCAGGCACTATGCTAAGGGCTTTCCACACCTGATACCCCTGAATTCTCAGAGTGGCCGTAGTATAGAGATAGAGGAGAGGAGATGAATTGGAACTATTTCTAAGGGGACATTTAGAGGGTTTGCTGCGTGATTGGTTCTCGAGTTGCTAAATCTGGGGGACTGTGGTTCTCTTCACTGGGGTCTGGAGTGGGGGAAACAGATCCAGGGAAGAGAAGGAGTGAGAGAAGGTGGCATTCCGGAAGGGTCGGTTTCAGGTTTCTTGGGAGACTTAAGGGAATGTGGAGCTGAACAGATAAGTTGGGCCACAGACACCAACTGGGGGGGTGATCAGTAGATATGTGACTATAATGCCAGCCACAGAGAAAGAACATAAAGTGGGTAGGAATGAAGCCTGAGGACTGAGCCTAGAATAAGTACCATTCAGAGGTGAGGTAAAAAAAGAGGAGCTTAGAGTTGCAGAAGGAGATAGCAAAAAGAGTCAAGTAGGTTGGGATAGAACCAGGAGAAGTGGTGTCATAGGAACAAAGAGGAGAGAGAATGTCAAGATTTGGGGCTGAGCAGTAGCAACAGAAGGCACGGGAAGCTCAGGCAAGCTGAGATCTGCGAACATTTATTCCACGTGGCAATCCGTTGGTCCTGGCAGCCTTGAGATGAGGAGCTTCAGGGGGCGCCTGGGTGGCTCAGTCATTAAGCGTCTGCCTTCGGCTCAGGTCATGATCCCGGAGCCCCGGGATGGAGTCCCCCATCAGGCTCCCTGCTCAGCGGGGAGTCTGCCTCTCCCTCTGCTCTTCACCCTGCTTCTGCTCTCTCTCAAATAATAAAACTAAATAAAATCTTCCAAAAAAAAAAAATGAAGAGGAGCTTCAAGGATTTGTGGCTGGTAGCAGAACTCAGGGGATGGTAGGTGAGAAAGGAAACGAAAAGGCGCACAATGGCACGCCAAGGACAGGCAGTTCTTTCCAGATGCCTGCCATGGAGGCCAGCGGGAAGAAAGAACGGGGCATGTTTGGTGGGGAATATATTGCTGAAAAAAAAGTTGCATGATTTTTTTTTAAACACAGGTGACACTGGATCCTCCTTAAATGCGAATGGGAAAGAGCTAATTGGGAAGGAGATATGGAAATACAAGTGGCAGAGGGAATGATTGATGGAACAAAGAGGAAATGGGATCCAGACATCATCATAAAAGAAGACAGATGGCCGCAGAAGTTTTAAGAATTCTGGTTTTCAAAATTTTATAGTTTCCTAATCTTACATATTTGAAAAAAAAAGGTATAAAATTAATATTAAGCTTTAGTTCATCCTCCACGTGAAAAATGATCTTTCCACAATTTAGTTAATTAAAATAGTTAATTCCTGAATCTGGTAATAATTTCTTCTCTATGTTTTTATTCATCTCTACATTTTAGTGCCCACATTCAGCATTTATGGATAGAGCAATTATATGAGAGATTCAGTAATGAGAAGCAGAGTGACAAATGTATGACCACGATACGAGGAGCCTCTCCTAGGGGCCTGTGGCGACATCTGTAATCACTCAGTTGGTCCTGCCAGATTCAGGCACGGTGTCTGCATCCTTCTGTAAATAGCACCCCACTCGGCCATTCCTAAAGTCAGAATTTAAAATGCAGCTGCCATTCTTGGTTAAGAGGCTAATTAACCTCCTGGGATCAAACTCCAGCCCAGAAGCCAGATGGGGTGTCTCATAACTATGCTGACTTAGGGGTTCTTCTGCTTGGACCAGACCCCCATATGGTCCACCTCCCTGAGCCTTGCTTTCTTGCCAAACTCTGGAAGCCTGAACCTCCACCTATCTTCCTTATCCAGAGTGGGCACATTTTATTTCTTTTAATCTGGTGTCCACCCCTGGTCAAGCCCCAACTCCTCTTCCATTGGACTGGCTTTTGGTCCTTCCTCTTTTGACATCTGACCCTGATTTGGCCTTCACTGCCACCTCCACGGATGACAGCTAATGACAGTGGCATTCTGCTGTGTGGTTTAGAAGAGACAGCTGGTTGTCTGGATGGCTCCCTGTAGGGTTACCGCTTCTTCTCTACACTGTCTGTTCAAGACTTCAGGAGTTTATCCACAATCCCTGGTGGGCTGCCTTTTCCTGGAGAAGTCTCTCCTCATGCTTCACCTGGCCAATACCTGTTTCTCTTTCTGTCTCAGTGAGCCCACTACTAATGTCCTTCAGGATCCGAAGTCTGATTTGGAACTCCCTTCTCTGTGCCCTCTTCTGGGCACCTGCTGCACAGCATGGTGAGGGCTTGCTTCCTGCTCATCTCTCCAGCTAGATGGGAAGGCAGGACTGTGCATCTCATCCCTACACAACAGTGCTGGGAATATGGTGGGTGGTTAAGATCAAGTTGTTGAATGGATGAATGATAGATGAGTGAATGTTGCAGCTAGTTTCTTTCTCTTTTTTCTTTTTAAAGATTTTATTTATTCATTTGTCAGAGAGAGAGAGAGAGCACAAACAGGGGGAGTGCCAGGCAGAGGGAGAAGCAGGTTCCCCACAGAGCAGGGAGCCGGATCCCAGGACTCTGGGATCGTGACCCGAGCTGAAGGCAGATGCTTAACTGACTGAGCCACCCCGGCGTCCCTCTTTCTCTTTTCCTAGGGACTTTTATTTTTCCTTTCCGAACCTTTTTGTCCATAACTCTATAACAAGAGGGCATTACTTGTTTGTTTTGTTTTATTGTACTTATGGTTTTTTAAACTCTCATTTCAGGAAAAAGCCAAAAAGAAAAAAAAAACCACATTTGTATCTATGTTGTGCAATGGATGATAACCAATAGAAGAAAAGAATGAACCATTTCAGAAATATAGCAAAAATTCACTAGTTCAGGTGACAAAAATCCTGAATTTCTAATACAATGCGTGAGAATTCTCAATTCAGCAAACTTTCTCTTTATAGTGCAAATTGCTTTTTTAAATAAGAGCAGAGAGACTATCTAAAATATTTAAAATGAATTCTGCATTCCTTAGCACTTCAGGAGTACTGATGAATATTTAGGTATATGCTAATTACTTGTCATTTCTCTCCATTCACTAAAATAAATGCCTACTCCTAAGAACCTCTACTGGTGAATCATTTGTAAAATATACTCCACATTCCCCATCAAGAAACCCAAGCTCCTCTACCTCCTATCTACTACTGACCTTGGCCTGCTTTGTCTCTAGCCATTGGCTCTCTGAGCTTGATGTTTTTAGGACCCTAAACACACTGACTAACTCACATCTCCAGGATGCCTTTGATCATGTTCCCACTGCCTGGAAGCCCCTGTCTAGATTTATTTAACTGTGGTCTGTGACTTCTCTTACCCTGCTCTGCTTTTTCTGAATCTCCTGGCTGGACTGTGTGTCTTTCTTCTTTGTTCCCCACACCCTCTGCATGATGATCCTATCACTTTTCCAGGAACAGAAACTGAATCCTGCTCACCGTGGGGATCCCCAGCACCAAACACCATTCTAGACATAGAGTAGGCACCCAGTACTGACCAAAATGGGCTTGAACTCAACAGCTCCATTTGAAACTGTCTACACAATAAACATTATTAACATTAATATTATTTTATAATTGAAATGGGCCTTTGACCTAATTGTCCTGAATTAGTGAGATCACACTGTCTTGTTAATATTGTATTATCTATTTCAAGGGACTTCCGTGATAATTCAGTGAAACGATGTATATGCAGATAGTTTGTAAAGTACTAGTACTAAACAACTGTGAATGGCTGTTTAAATTTCTATTATTAAACTAAAATTACATTAGTTATACAGTGTTTTCTATTATTGAAAGTTAAGATTCTTCCGTGTTTTTGTGAGCAAGAACTATATTGTGTTAAAAGAGACATGACTTTAAACCAAATTGTCTTCACAAGCAATGTGAAGGGGAATTCTGCTCAAAGCAAATAAAGAAAACTACAAGGAGAAATTGTGGGTGTGAGGTGTCTCCCTCATGAAGGTTTATGGTGTATTCTCCAGAACACATTTCATAGTGACAGCAGGTAAGTATTAAACAAACTTGGGCAAAGAAATCTTCATTCAGTGGCAGTAAGTTACCTTCTTGGAATTTGTAGGTATCAGTAATATCCTTTATGCCATCTCCTCCAACTTCTTTGGTTACAATCAATTTCCCAATGTGGTTGGTATCAACGGTTTCAACCACATGAGTGCCATCTTTCTTGGCTGTAATGTAAACGAGATCACTGTTGACCTAAAAACAGGAGAAGGGAGCGTTAGCTACCATCTGAAGTCCTTGTCATCAGAATCTCTCTCAGTGGTGTAGCCATCCTGGATCCCTAGAGCGGACATGTTCCTTTCTTCAACAACATTGGATTCATTGGGCTGAACTTGTTTTAAAATGAATCTGAAGGATAATCTAGCTTATTTTAGTTATCAGGTGTTATAAATGAAGAGTATTTGGACTATTGATTGTTTAAACATCAACCACTTCTTTCTCTCCTTTTTCTTGCTGGTGAATTCCACCTCCTCAGAAAGAGCCAAAACCATCACACCTGTTACTCACTTTCCCAGACTGCTTTTAATCCAGCAGTGGCTGTGTGACCTACTTCTGGGAAGAAGAAGAAGTCTGCTGGGTGGCTTCTGGGTAGGATTCTTCTCTGTAATAAAAGGAGAGAGTTTGCCCTTCCCTTTCTCCTTTTCAATGTTTTCACATTAAGTGAGGTGATGTTTGGAGCTTTTGTAGCCTTCCTGGGACAGTGAAGAGAAACACTGCCAACAATACAAAGACGGCCAAGTAGAGAGACAAGAAGCACGTGCGGACTTAACAATGTTGTTAAATGGTTGAGTCAACCTTGGGACCGCCTACTTTAGGATTATCTACATGAGAAAAATTATAGGTAAACTCTTCATGTTTAAGTCATTTTAATTCTGTTACTTGCAGCCAAAAGCATTTTAACTGAAAAATGATATTAGGCTATCAGGAAAAATTCAGGCAATTTTGTGGTGGTTCAGCAATGGAACCATGCTATTTGTGGTATTTGGAGACAGCATCCTGGGGCCATGCCGGCTGACCCCAAGCTCTTCTGACATTCTGCCTTATCAGTCTACTTTCTAGAGACAATGTCTAAATCTGTGCCTGAGGGCTGACCCCCCTAGAGTCTCTTGTTATATTCTTTATAACCACTTTCTTAGGATCCCATTTATTAGCATGGGAGCAGGTAGAAACATGAACTACAGTGTATTATCAGGAGCTCCAGCTGAAAACAGTCTCTGAGGTGTTCATGAAATGTTTTCCAAGCTACACATCCCTACTCTTTCAAATAGGGTGACAATAGTGTCTTCCTCACAGTGGTTGGAAAATTAACTGAAATAGATGTCTGTAAATTACTTATCATAGTGCCTGGCATAGATCAAATGCTCTATAAATAATAATAATATCATAAATTAATAGTATTGCCGAGATGCTGTAGTGCTATAGTCCTAGAGATGGACAAAATGCATTTAGTCACTGTTCTTGTAGGATTTACACTCTAGTAAGGGAGATTCTGTGCATTAGAATCACCTGGGGAACTTAAAAAAAAAAAATAGATGCCCAATTGAGGAGGTCTTGGGTGGGGCGCTAAGTCTATTATTTTTAAAAGAAGTTCTCAATTAATTCTATTGGACACCCAGACCTGAGACCCTGGCAATACAGTACAATAAGTCCCCGGGGTGGGGGAATGCTTAAGATACCACCAGAGCACCTGGGGCAGTGGGGCAGGGCAGGGTGGGGAGGGGCGGGAAGGTGACTAGGAAGTAACAGCCAAGTTGAAAACCGGAAAATGCATAGGAGTTAGCGAACTAAAGGATCTCATGTTAAGTGCTCTTACTAACCAACCAACCAACCAACCAACAAAAGCTCACAAAAGAACACAAGGAAATTTCTGGAGGCCATGGCCATGTGTACTTCCTTCATTGTGGGGAAGATGTCACAGGTGTATGCATATGTACAAACTCATCAAGATGTATCTATTAAATGTGTGCAATATTTTACGTTAATCATACCCCAATAAAGCTAAAAAGAATAAAGCAAAGAAAAAAAAAATGGAGAGAGGAAGGCTGTGACAGGCAGAGGGACTGCCACAACCACAGGTCAGAGAGGGTGGGTCAGAGACACACTGGATTAGCAAGAACCTCGGGTTCTGATCTTGAATGTGTACTTTTGGAAAGCTACCTTATCCTCTCTGAACTTCAGTTCCTGTTTCTAGAAAATGAAAATAGTTATACTTCTGCCAATTTCATAGTAACGCTTTAATGAGACAGCACCAAGCAAAATAGGATCTATGTGAGCATGACTTGTAAACTTTAAAACTGAGTAAAAATGTAATGGTTTTTATTAGGTAATGGGGGAACTTGATGATAAAGCCCTAACTTTCAAAGTTGAGGTTAAAAAAAGCAACTTTTCTTTACTTTCTCACAAAATGCTCTGAATTTACATGGACTCTGACCTCTACTAAGGTGAAAGCAAGTAGTTGACATTCATTGAAGGGCCACAAGGTTTCAGGGACACTTACAAATTATTTAATCTAAACCTCACAACAACCACCACCTGTGAGGTATGTATTATTATCCCTATTTTATAGATGAGGGTGCCAAGTGGGTTAAGAAGGGTCAGCAAAGTGTTTGTGGTCACATAGCTGGGAGCTGCTGGAGACTGAAACCCTGGGCTGGCCCATCGCCCATTCCCTGACCTTCACCTTGGGCTGGCCCATTCCCTGACCCTTACAGTGCATTGCCTCTCCCATACAGCCCTACCGGACCACCAGCGCCGCCATGAGGTGGTAAGATGGTTTCATGCTTGGGGTGCAAGTGGTTCCATGCATGGGCCTCAGATATCTGAGCGTGATAAATGGTGACCTCATTCTTTAGCAGAATAATCACAGCTTTGTGGCACTAGCCATAGGATGTGCAAGATCAAAATATGAATTTAGGAATTAGGATAGGCCATGACAGGGCAGACACCAGGGATATTTGTCATTTTGGGGAAAAAAAAAAGTTAAGGAAACTTTAAAAGAGCTTCCTGAGACTTTTGGCTTTCCCTCTGGAGAAGGCCATGCGAGCACAAACAGCCTCCTCCTCTTGCAAATTAGAGCAGCAATGCTGATAAATATCTTCTTAATAACAGCCCTTACAACAGTTTACAGTTTTCCAGGGAGACAAGGCTAAATATGAAAAGTGGCTAAATCGTCTCCCCTTGAGCATAGAGCTTAGGAAATTTATGTGGGCTCAAATCTCAGGCCAGCCCAGCAGCACTGTCCCTTGTGGACAGAGGAGAGGAGAAACCCACATATGAAATGGCTATTGCATATGTATGTTGTGGGGGTGTGGAGAGAAAGTATTCTTTCCAATCGACATTAGCAAGCTTTCTTTTCGGTTTCAGCCACCAGTGCAATGGTCCCCCATCTTGGCTGCGTATGAGCCACTGAGGGCTTAAAAGAGTAATGGTGACAGGCCCCCACCCAAGGCCAACTGCATGTCTGCGGTAGACAGTTGTAAGTGCAGGTGGTGCTGGAAAGAATATTGGATCTGTACTGTGTGACTTTGGGCAAGTTACTCACTGTCTCTCAGCTTGGGTTTAATAATGCCATTCTTGCCGGGCAGAAACCTAGATCAGTACTGCTGGAGAAAGCCCTATGTTGAAGGCTAATTTCTTTTGAACGAAAAGGAGTCTTAGTGGCCATCTTGTCCTACCCTACACTTGAGGGGACTGTGGTCACATAGAACCTGGGCATCCCAACATGAAATCTGGTGCTGGTTTCAGTACACCACAACTTTGCCCCTTTGTCAGACACAGGCACTTCTACTCAGCCTCTGCTGAGGTGCTTGCTGAGCCCTGGGGCTCAGCAAAGGTGGGCTGGGGCTGCAAGCTAAGGGTCCCCCTCTCGACAAAGTTCTGCATGTGCCCCTGGAATGTAGGCATATGTCTACTGCTGGCAGAAGCTATGCTCTTTACCACTAAGGATGGAAACTCTTTTTTCAGGATCCAGGAAGATTTGCTTTGTTCATTTGTTCCTAACTAGAGATAACTACAAAACAGGCTGTGCGGAGAAAGTGGTGCTCCTCTGAGAGTGCACGGAGGCAGTGCATGAACCTTCTGGTACAACTGCCATCCTTCTACTCTGTGCTTGCCAGGCCCCTGTGTGTGCTGTCTGCTGCTCTGTCCCTGTGCCTCGTCTCCCACCAGGACTGCCAGCACCTGAGGGCACCATCTGGATCCTATCTCTCTGAGACTCAGTTCTTAGCAGGGTACTCTGCCTCCGCTTCTGTTTGCTTGCTTGCTTCATTCATCCATCCATCCTCATTCATTCAACAAGTATTTATTCATGACTACTTTGTGCCAGAACTTGTTTTCAGTGATGAGGATACAGTCATGGAGCTTATATTCTAGAAAGGAGAGAAATAATAACACTAAGGCAAGTGTTGTGAGACAGGCCAGGAAGTGAGATTTTAGGTGGAGGTGGGGTGGGATGAGTGAAGACCTCTTTGAGGAGGTGACCTGAGCAGAGACTTGGATGCAAGGAGGGGTCAGATGTGCAAGGATGTGGTGGAGAGTAGGGGAGAGCTTTCCCAGCAAAAGGAACAGTATATATAAAGGTTCAGAAGCAAGAGTATGTTGGCATGTTGCCAGAAGAGCAAGAAAGTCAGTATGACTGGAGGGAAATGAGCAAGGGAAGAGGTGGAAGGAAAGCCAGGAGCCAGATCACATAGAATCTTGTAAAGACTTGTGCTCAGTTTTATTGTAAGCGTTGTGGAAATCCATTAGAAGGTTGGGGGCAAGGGACTAATGTGTTTTATTTACATTTTTAAAGGATGATTCTGGTTAGACTGTGGAGAATAAACAGGAAAAGGGTCAGAGGAGGGAAGGGAGGTGGGCTAGGAATCAAGTTCATAGAGCTCAGTGTTACACAGAGCTCAAAGGATAATAATGGGCATCACAGACCTGGCTGGATGCATGCTCTCTTTAGAAGGTATTTCTGGCAAGATGCATGAAGATTAAGAAGAGAAGCCAACCTGATTCCAAAATCTTATACATTATTTGAATAAATGGATGAACTATTTTAGATCAGAATAGGAGTCCCCCAAAATGGGCTAAAAACTGGTAGCAAAATAACGTTGAATTGAGAATGAAGTGTCTGTAGAGTTTGTATACAAAGAACCTCTGGCCCAGAGCAAGGGAAAGTGCTATGTAGCTTCTGAGCAATGGAGCAGTTACTGTGGCCCTGGGGGACCAGTCATCATTGCTGCAAAAATCAGCTCAGTGACAGGGAGGGAAGGAGGAGTGGGCATGTGCTCGAGTGTGCACGTGTGTGCAGGTTTGGGGTGGGCCGGTAGCAAGGGGAGGACAGAGCCAATGAGAGGAAGCTAAGATGGAAGAGAAGCAGCAACCCCCAAGCGCTCAGTGAACATGGGAACTCAGGAGAGGACTTCAGACCCTAGCACTCTTTTGCTCTCTCCTCCCCCCCACCTTTAGAAGCCAAAGGCCACCATTAGTTGGGGAGAGAAAAGGCAGATGGGCTTCCAGAATGGAGGTCCTCGTCATGGTGCTGAGGGCATGAGAAACAAGCTTCAAGCCCTGGAAGCTATCTAGAAATGTGAAGAATACATTTCGAAAATGGAGGAGGAGAGGAAAAGGGGCAGAGATAGGATCCTTCCCATGTACATGCCTCTTTTTTAAATTTTTACTTTTTAATTTTTTAATTTGAGTCTAGTTGATACACAATGTTACATAAGTTTCAGGTGTACAACATAGTGATTCAAACTTCTCTATGCTATGCTCACGGCAAGTGTAGCTACCATCTGTCACCATACAACACTATGACAACATCATTGACTATATTCCCTATGCTGTGCCTTTCATCCCCGTGGCTTATTCTATAACTGGAAACCTGTATCCTCTGCTCCCCTTCACTTCTTATTTTGGATTTTGCTTTAACTAAAGGAGACCACGGCTCTGAGAAGATCAAAAAACGTCAGTGAACATGATGTTTAATCCAGCCCGGAAGTGAGTAAGGAATGACCAAGAAAGTCAGTGAGAGGCAAGAAAAGGCACACTGGGCTGCCTGCCTGGGGTGTGACAGGCAGGCTTACGCAGCCAGAGGATGGAGAAGGGAAGGGAGGATGCAGTCTGAACCTGAGTCATGGACACTCTCATTAAAGTTAAATACGGTGCCCCCCATGTGGTCCTACTTTGGGCACCCTTGAGAAAAGATTCCTCATACACTTTCAACAGCTTGGGCATCTCTTATAAATGGCTCAGCCCCGGGGTTCAGCCCCTGCCAAAGCAGCAAATCGTCCGCTCTGTCAGACAAGTCTGCAGTGGCTGAGAGAGGAGTAATTATAATCTGCGAATCCCGATGACATGCGTAACACCCTGATCTATATTTAATAATAGCAAAAAGCGTTTGCATTAACAGCTATTAGGCAATTCACTCTTGGAGGGAGGTTGCTCCCTCTGTCTTTCTCTGCAGCAACAAAGCATAATAAAAATATAAAAACATGGCTCTGTGAATTTTAGAGTGATTTCCCATTAAGAGGTTCTCCTAGCATCATAAACTATCAGTTGGCAGCTGGGGAGGTTGGGATAAATCCCCAAATCCCGAAGTGAAATCGAGGGGGATGAAATTCGAAATACAGTCTGCCTTTCCCCCCCAGGCTTCTAGCAACTGTAATGGTGGTCTCCGTGGAAGCAATACTATCCGCTTTGTGCGTTTCAAGCTCCCGATCTTGCTGTCTGAATATTCACACTTATTTTACTTCCTAAACATTTCCGGGTGCTGCCTCCTCCTTCCCGCCTCTTGCCATTTGGGGAGCTCAGGCCCCGCCCTCTCGGGTGGGTGTGGAGCAGATACAGCCTTCCCTCTGATCTCCCCCCTGCCCCCAGCTCAGGGCCACCCCTTTCAAGTCCCAGCTCCACGGGGCTCAAGTCCTCCTGTAAAGGAGTCCAGTTCCTTCTGCCTTCATCTTCTACGCCCCTGACACGTCACCTTTCCTGAGCCTGCAACAGCTTGTCATTTCCCACACACCCCATTCGGATGCTCAAATTGTCCCCTCTGCCTCAGATTCTTTCCTTCCTCTGGCTTCTTTCTTACCCACTTGGCCTGAATAACTACAGACTGTCCCTCAAGATGCAGTTCAGGCACTAACCCCTCCAGGGAGCCTCCCTGCCCCTCCCTCCATGTGCTCCCACAATGCTCTGCCCAGCCACACAGGTGTCATTATCCTCTGTCCTCATGTCACCCTCCCTCCCTGGATGGTGTCTTATGGCCTTTACTGTCCTACTCAGTTCCTGACCCGTGTTTCTCAATTAACGAATCTGTATGTATTAAATGCAGATCATTTACCACCTACATTGCTCATCTGACAATTAGTTCCACAGAGTCTCCTGTACTACTGTTATTTAACTTTTGATGTGCTATGTATTGCCACCTCCCATCAAGAATCTAATTTCTTTTTTTTTTTTTAAGATGTATTTATTTGAGAGTGAGAACACGAGGGGGAGGGGCAGAGGGAGAGAGAATCTCAAGCAGACTCCCGTTGAGCGCGGAGCCTGTCCAGGGGCTCCGTCTCCCAAAACTAAGAGTCAGAGGTTTAACGGACTGGGCCACCCAGGCTCCCCAAGAATCTAGTTTCGTAAGGGTTCTGAGTTCCCCACAGGACAGTGCCTGCCACATATTTATAATAGGTATTTATTCATCCCAGAGTAGTAGTAGAGTGTGGTGGTTAATGTCATGAGCTTCAGTACCTGCCTGGCTTTAGATCTTAGCATGACTGTTTATTAGTTCAGTGAATGTGGAAAGGTTATTAACCATGCTGCCTCAATTTTCCTTTCTGTAAAATGGGAAGAATCATAATACCGATTTTAAAGGGTGGCTAACAGCCTCAAATGGTAGGCACAGTGATTACATGGTAAGAACTCTGTATACAACAGACATTACTTCAGTGTGTTTGTTGGTGAAACTATATTCTGGGTAAATCCTGCCTCTCAGCCTCTCACATATTTCTCTTCTCTCCACCCCCTGCCCTCAGCCTCCCAGCTCCCCAACCTTCTCCTTTACCAATACCTTTTATATTTAATTTGATTTTTAGAGATCTCCTTGGAGTATTCTCTAACTGCCTCATCTGCTCCTAGTCCCCATCCAAATCTTTCAGAATTTCAGACCCTTTACAAAAGTGTTCCCATCAACCCATGAAGTATGCTGCCTTCTAGCTGCCATTCCCTCCCCTCCCTATTTCAGCAGCTCTGCTTTCCCTCCCCGATGATGGAGGAAGGCCTGGAGTGGCAGGAAATGGGTTGCAGTTCCCAGACTAAGACCATGGCTGGGGTGTGTCTGGATTTTGTTTTTACGTGAACTGCTAGGTTAGTGTCAGTGAAGTAGTAAGCTCTGAAATTTCAATTCATGGACTGTCTCCACCAATTTTTAGTTGAGGGATTCATTTAGTCACTTAATTTCTCAGGAGCAGTTGATACCTATTTCGTGGGTGCGAAGAACTCAGCTAAGGTTAGTAACACAATTCCTTTTCAAGGAGAAAATCTCAAAACATCAAGGAAAGAAAAATGTTAAGTAAGAACTACATGTAGAATTAAGAGCCTGGAGGTTGGAATGATGTTTAGTTGACTTTGTAGACATGAAACATGTGCCATGGACTTGGGAAATTTAGAAGTAACAACCTGGTGTCTGATTTTTCAAGTATTAAGAGGTTGGGGAAGAAAGCGGCACTTCTCTCTGGCTTACTACTTACCTCTGCAAAAACAAAGGGTGCATCAAACTGGAAGCAAATATGGCCGTGCTTAATGGCTTGAACGGAGGCCGGGCCACACCGATACATCCCTGCATCACACAGAGGAAAGGGAAGCATGAGTCTGTCGTCTTCACTTCTGTCCAGATACAGATACAGACTTTGTAGGGGCAAGTGTTCCTGACTTCATCACTGATTAAGCCCACATGCTTCCCATGGCCGGAGACGGTGAATGACCAAGGTGTGTAATCAAGAGGGCTTTGTTGGAAATGCATCCTCAAACCAAAATTGAAGCCATGAGAAGAATACAGGGCAGTCACTACGTCTCGGTCTGTTCTCCCACCTAGAACACATACTCCAGATGTTTGTTCTGAGGCTGAGCTGTTTGCTTCCAGAGGATTGATCCATTTACACAGGTCTCTGGAATGTTGGAGATGGTAATGTGTCCCCCCTGGTTGTGTTGTTGTTTGTTTTGATTTTTGTGTTTTGTTTTTGGACATCATGCCTGTACGTCAAGTATTAAATTGAGGAATTTGGACATTAACAACACATTGATCAATGCCCAGCATGCATTCCTGAAGTCAGTAGGCACATGATTACCTTTACAAAGTTCCTTACATTTTAACCAGCTATCTCTGGTTAATAAGAAATTAACTGCCATTAGTCATTTCTGACGTCTCCTCATGATACATAATTGAGAACACCAGAAAGTGTTGAACATTCTCCCTCAAAATCGAGCATAAATAAAGCATGAGTCTCTTATGAATAAGTTATGAATGTTTATGGATATATGGGTATATACACACACGTCAGTATCTCATATCAACACCTGAGGAAGTAAACATAATAAAAGCCACTGGCTTTTATCATCATATTAAAGAGAAATGGAGGCCTCTGATGTGATTCCATAAAAATCTGAGGGCAGTCATAGGTGCCATTCATTGCTTAGCATAGACTGCAAGTTAGATGATGAATATACCCACATACTTAGGTTTTGGAAGAAATCATACAACATAAAAAGAAATCAGGTTCTGGGAAAACAATAATTTAAAGGATGATCTGTAACTATTTTTTGAGTTCTTTATTTTCTCTACTGCCTTATATCTTATCACTGCATCACAGAGGGCCGAGGTGTATTTTAGAGCCTAGTAAAAGTGCCTACAAGGATATTTTTTTCTCTTGTCTTTGAAACTGCTTATCAAAGCAAGAGTAGATGAATTACATATGTTAAGTTTTATGCCTTTTTTTTTTTTTTACCAGTTGTAGAAATAATCAGGGGAAAACTGACCATTGAAATGAAATTAAACTGATCGACAGGCTGTTAATACTGTACATGGGCCCAGGAAGCACACTTTCGATGTTGGTTCCCAATGGGAGTGTTGCCCACACATCAAATGCGATCCTAACAGCAAAATAAAGATCGCAGTGAAACGAGTTCCATGAGGGACAATGCAGTTTTACCATCACTGTTTTCTTGGGGGGTGCTGTCCACAGCTTGCCACCCTCCAAATCCAACGGGAAGATCAGGTCTTGTCATCCAGGCTTCATTCCAGCAGTGGTAGTTCCTGAGAAAACACCACCCCAGTGAGATTAAACTTCCCATCCCATTCAATGCCCCAAGAAATCAAAAGGTGGCCAGAATTCCTGTGAGTACGCTATCTACAAGTTGCTGGGATGGAATAAACCTAATTGAAGACTCCTGAGAGATATCCTGGACTTGAGTTTTCTGGGCAGATGCATTCCCACTGGCACCCCTGGAGGGCATCAGGTGGCTGGACATCTCTCTTCCCTGCTAATATCAGTTTCAAGGCCACCCAGCACATGAAACAGTTTTGTTCTTAACCATCTTCTGCTGCCTAATGAAACAAAATGTACTATGTGCTAGCAGGATAGAAAAGAAAAGTTAATTGAAACTGAAATACATATATCTTTGAATTTCTTTTATATTTATGTTTACATTTATGCATATTCGATTTATAAGAAGCAGATCTCTTGTAACAATTAAGCAATAGAATGCTTGTGTTTATGGGCTTAGGCTGTTGCCATAGAAACTATAATGTTAACTCCTGACTATAATTGTCTCTAATTTGTGGCAAATTTCCATTTGGTGTCCAACAAGAAGAAAAGGGTATCAGTGTGAGTGTCTCTTTACCCTTTATTAAAGGTGGGCAACCCACAACCTGAGGGCCACGCAAAACTTTTCAGAACATTGCATATGACCCTTGAGGCAAGAGCATGGAATAAAATGTCATCATGAATTGTATTATCATGTCCTTGGAAAGACCTGAAATTATATGACTGTACAGAAACCAATGAAAGCACATTAACCCATCTGCACTATAGAAAATATTCATATAGTAATAACGATTTAACGGTGGGGGGAGGTAGTTATAACAGTCTTTGTTTATAGCATGGATGAATTTCAGATCCAGCTACCATTCATCCTTTGCCTAAATGTCCTTCAATGTCAGGAATTCGTACATGTTCCCATCTCCGAGTTTGGCTCATCTTTGATTGGCTCAATTTGGAGGTATTAATTTCACTATGTACCCTTTTTGCACCAGGCTAGGTGCTGGCGATGTGGCGATGACTGATACATAGGTTCATGCCCACAAAGACCCTTGTGATCTAGGAGGAATGATGAAAAGGTAAACCAATTGTTACAAACATTTCATAGATTTGCTGTGAGGCTTAAACAAGATGATGGGAGTAAAGCACTTAGAAATAGGGCCTGGCATGTGATAAGTGCTCAAAAATAGTAAGTCTCGGACTTTTTAAAATAATTCATAGAAGTGATGCAGTGGAAATTCATTTGGGGGTACACTGGGGTCTCAGTGGGAAAACCCTTAGGGAATGAGGACAAGTTTCACAGCAAAAGTGGTACTTGAGCTAAGTCCTGAGGAATGTGGGGGTTTAGAAAGTCAACAAGAGAAGTAAGAACAAAATTGTGGAGGCATGAAATAACCCACACGGTGTGTTTGGGGGACTGCACGCTGTTCGTTGTGGCGTGAGGACAGCGTGCTTGTGTATTTGTGTGCACGGGGGAGAAGGATGGCAGGTGAGGGTGGGCAGAGAATCACAAAACTGACAAATGCACAGCACTTACTGTGTTCCAGGCACTGTCCTAAAACTTTTATGTATATTAGCACAGATGATGTTCCCGTACCCTATTAGAAAGGTACTATTACTATCTCCAGATTGCATGGGAAGCACAGAGAGGTTAAGAATCTTGCCTGAGGTCACACACCTGGTTAGTGATAGAGCTTCAGGGCCCAAGCTCTTAAACAATGAACTATGCTGTAGGAGAGGATGAGACTGTGAGATCCTTTTATCTCAAATCAAACGATTGAGCTCTATTCTTGGGCAAGTTAAATTTGCAAATCTGTCTTTGTGGAAGTTGGGTGGGGAGGCAGGATGGGCCAAGGAACTGAGTTGACCTCCACCCCTGTGGGGAGGTCCAGGAGCCATCAGCGGGTACAGCACGTGGAGGTGAGAGAGCTGGATGAGTGCAGGAAGACTTTCGTGTTTCCAGGAGTATGATGGTTCCATTTACCAAGACTGAATGAAGGAGGAAGAGAAGACGGTTTGTGTTGGGAGGTGTGTGTTGGGTGGCTGACAAGTTCAATATTGGACGTGATGAACTCCAGAGCCAGTGAGAAACCCAGGAGACAAAACCCTAGAGACGTTTTTATATACCCATGAGACAGTCAGGGTTGGATGAGTTCCTGGCGTCTTCATGGATGGTGGAGGAAAATGGGGACAGAGCCAAATGAGGAGAGCATGGAAACAGAGGGATGCAGTGTAGGTTTCTCTCCTCAGAGTGATCTAGGTTGTGAAGGGAAAAAAAAGAAGATAGGGCCATGGCTAGAAGGTAATGCAACGCAGGCAAGAGTGTTTTGATTAGTTTCACATTAGGAGAGATTGTCATGCTTACAGAGGAAGAACCAGTGCAGGGAGTGGGAATAGAGAATAGAGAGATTGAATAAAAGGACACTCAACTCTCAAGAATGCAGGAGGATGAGGTTGACAGCCACACCACTCCTGGGTGTGGGGAGCGAGGCATTGTTTGCAGGGACAGGGAGGTGTAGGTGTAGATCAGGGTCAAGGTGTGGAGGTGTTGGACAGGAACATGAGGTTGGTTCCCACTTGAGAGCCTGTATCTTTCCTCTGAAGGAGGAAAGAAGGTCACTGTGAGTTTAAACATGACGGCTAGCCTCCCTCCAGAACAGTGAAAGTTACATGATTAGGCAGGGAGATCCAGGAAAACGGCAAGGAAACATTTGCAATCCAAATGGACATAGTCCTGCTTCCTACACAATCCGTGTAGGCAACCTGTGTTTAACAATCCTGGCTCTAGCTAGGATTTCACTGTTACACCACCACCCTAGATTAATAGGTGCCAGAACCTCCTTATTTAAAATCAAATATCCTGGACAGGGTTAGCCTTGAACAAGATAAACAAGCTTTGTATTTCAGATCTCAGAGAACTGAGTTTGGGGTTGGGCCTTAGTCAATAGGTAGAAAGCCAATGGCTGGGCTCCCAGGCTCGTCGTGAACAGAGTGGGAGGATGCTACCTCCAAAGCCATAGATTTTTTTTTTTTTTTTTAATCATGCCATTCTCTCTGCTCAAGAATGGCCAGGGAAAATGTGTCCTGGACCACTCATGCCATGAGGGTTCCCTTTTGTCTGGATGTTAAGTATTTCTGGGTACACATGCTTGTCTTTGATTTCAAGATCCCCTGTGAAAGGGGTTTAATATTTACAGACATTTCTGAATTCCATTTACCACAAGGTTGTCTGCAGATTGGGGAATATATATGCTTCCTGAAAGGTTACTTTAAAGTTTCTTTATCTAGATCTGTCATAGTCTTTCTGTTTTCATCTTGTAATTTTATTATGCATTCGTCGAGGGAGTGATTCACTTCTGGGGCTCTGTCTTGTTCACAATCACATTCCCAGTGCTAGAGTTAGGCCTTAGGAAGTGCTCAGAAAGTATTGCTTGATTGAAAGGCAAGGACAACTCCTAGCAAGTGTAGGACATCTCCAAGGCAGGTGTAATTAAACTTTCGTTTGTTTGTTTGTTATTAAGATTCATGGTTTTATATTTTCTCAGAGACTTCATTTGAAACTTGACTTCCCCCTATACGATCAAAATGTACAGTGTCACTTTAAAGGTAAAAGAAAAGTTAGAAACCTTCAAAGTGATCTAGTTTTCTTGTTGCTTCTTTCTAAAGAAGCAGTGTAGAAATTAAAATAAAGCCCCCATTTCATTGAGAGTTATTTAATCAAGTTGAAAATAACTTTTTTGAGGGAGCATAACGATGGAATGACAAGTGAAGAACACGTCTTTGCTTTATGTTACTTTTTTTTCCTGCAGTGACAGCTAGTGATTTCTAGAACTCCTTTCAAGGATGCTAATAACTCAGCAGAACTGGTGCAAAGGATCTGCAGAATCTTCACCAAAGGCAGAGCCTCCCTAGAAAAATAACACCATGCATTGCTGAGGGACCTTCAGAGAATGTCACAGCATTGGTTTGGTTTATCCTTTGGCTAAACCCTTTCCTTAGAACTTATGTGTAGCAAATAATCACACAGATGCAAAGACAGGTACTTCAGAATGTTCATCCTCGCATAATTTACAAGAAGGAAAAATCAGAAACTGTCCAATACGTGATTGTTTTGAAACACAAAACAGAACATTATTCAGCCATAAAAATGCAGATCTACATTTATTAGGCAGGAAATATGCTTATGGAATATTAAGTTTTAATATTAACACATTATTTAATAACACATACAACACAGTGTATGTGTTCATTGTGTATGTAGATAAGTGTGGAAGGCAGAATTCTAAATTGTATAATTTCCTCCCCTTGAATGTGGGTGAAATCTATGAATATGATGGTATATAACTCCTGTGATTATGTTACTTTACATGGCAAAGAGGATTTTGCACATGTAATTAAGATAATTAATCTGTGGACTCTGAGTTAATTAAAAGGGAGATAGCAAGGTGGGCCTGATCTAACCAGGTGAGCCCTTTAAATCTGGGTCTAGAGGTTAGGGACAGAGCAAGCTAGAGATTGGAAGCAGCAGAGATATCCTCCTACTGGCCCTGTAAAAGATGGAAGCTTCCATGAGTTCTACAGCTGCAAGGAACTGAATCCTTGCAAGAACCTAAATGAGTTTGAAAGAGAGCCCTGAACATCAGATGGGACCACAGCCTCAGCTAACATTTTGATTGCCATTATTTGAGACCCTGAGCAGAGGACCCAGTTAACCTGTGCCCAAACTCCTGATCCAGAGAAACTGATAATAGTTTTAGACTGCTAAGTTTTTGGTAATGTGTTATGCAGCAATAAAAATGAGTACAATAGCAAAGAGACATATGAAAGGATACTTAAGAAGATGTTGGAAATGCTCTGAGGAGTTAGAAGATGGATGACTCTGACTTTTGTATTTTTTTTCTGCAATGTTTGAAAATTTTATAATAAACATGCACTAATTTCTACCCACCCCCCCACATAAGTGAACTATTTTTTATTAAAAGAAAAGAGAGCACAG